TTTCCCTCAGTTCTCATGGTTACTGTCAGATTGGGCTGCACATCAGGGAGATATGGCTGCCTTTGGAGCATAGTACCTGTGGAAAAGGGTGATTTGTAGCAGCCCTGCAGTGGAGTGGAACAACCATTGGTCACAGCCCTTAGGTGAAGGGGCCATATCAAATTAGACTGTTGTCATGAGGATTGATAGATGGAAGGAAAGCAGCTCTTCCTTGGCTCCAAGGTGGCTGCTCTGTAGCCCAAATACATCAGAAGTACTGCCATGGCCCATGCATTGCTTACTGTGGATGTGCTGGAGTCCTGAGATCTCCATCATTGGAGATAACTCAGTATTTATCTGGAGAAGGCCCTGAACTAACTGGATGTTGAAGCTGGCCCTGCTTTGAATGGAATGGGGTTGAGGCAGAGACCAGCGGAGGTTCTTGCCTAAATTACGCTAAAATTCTTCAATCCAAAGACTGAATGGGACACAGGGGGTACCACAGACATCCCTGGCACTGTGTCTGTACTGGGCTGACCTCAACTTGAGATCCATTGCTTGTTTCTGTTCCCAGCTAATAGCATGGTGTGTCTCAATCCCTTCCTGGTCACCTGACTGGCTGTTGTAATGGCTCTTCTTCCTCTCATACCAGGATTGCTCAGAGGAGTAGGTTTTGGCATGCAGTTGGTGGAATCTGCTGGAAGGTACCACTCCTCCCAGGATATGTGCTCTCACAGAGCTTCAGCACTGTGGGATCAGCCAGTCTGGTTCATCTCCCAGCAAGGATCTTGGGCAGCTCACTGCTCCACAGAGTTCTGCCCTTTTCCTTTCAAGGAGTCTTACTAGTTCCCTAAGGAGCCAGGTTTTCTGGTTGGGTGCTGCTTATTCCAGGCTATCTCCAGGGGTTGAAGCCTCCTGGTCCTCAGGCTGGTACTGCTTCCTCCAGCAGCTGCTATGATGTGCAGCCTTGTAACAGATGGAGCTTTGATACATTTCATTATTTTAAATACTGGGGAATTCTGTTTGCCTTTTTTCTTTGTACTGTATTTTGGTTTGGCTTTTTTTTTGTTTGTTTTGGTGGTGTTTTTGTGGGTTTGGTTTTTTTTTGCTTGTTTTGGTTTTTGTTTTGGTTTTTTTTTTAGAATATGATGCCCCAGGAACCCACATTAAACTTTTCTGGAGTGGATTTGTGTATTCTAATTTAGATGACTGATTTACGTGGCGTGTTAGTGGTGCTGTTCTTCCCACCACACATTTAATGTAACAGGAGATGGCTGTGTCCTCTGAGTCCTGATACCTTGCTGTCCTCATCTCCTGAGAGGGCTGGGTGCTCTACTTATGGTCAGCAGAGACCTGTTGGTGGTCTGAGGTTTTTTCCCAGAGTCTGAACTGTAGAGAAGCTGGTTTGAAGCCCCTCATGAAGGTGCCAGCATTGACCTGGAGAGCCTGAGCCAATCTGTAGTTTGAGAAAGGTTTGCACTCTTGGATGACAGACAGTGGGCTTGTAGTGCTCACTGCCTGCTGGGCAGGCAGCCAAGCCTCATGGAGTGATTGGGGCAGTCCAGCAGTCCTCATTAGAGGCTCCAAGATTTGGGAATGAACTAGTGCTTTGATCTGGGTGTAAGACTAGGTGTATTGGTATCACTCTTTGTGTGGTGTCAGCAGAACAGGGATCATCTAGAACTTGAGTCAAGCTTTGCATAGCCCAAAAAAGTTTTAGTCTGATCCAGAGTACATCTTTTAAGATGAGTGGATTGGACCAGACTTCTCTAGTTCTAGCTTTTAGTAAATACCCTTTGGGCTTTCTCACTGCCTACTGTGAGCAGACCCTTGATTTTAGGGAACAGTTTTAAAGTTAAATATACCTTCATCCCCTTTATGTTGCAGGTGATTTAACCTGGTAATTCAGTGAGCTGAGGTGATCTCAAGAGAGGAATGTTTTAGAACACAGTTAAATTGTTGAGGGAGAGCTGCACTTTGATCCTAAGAGCTTTGCAAGGCTGAATTTTAAAGATCCCAGAAGATGAGGTCTGCTTGCATCCTGGTGCCAAGGCACTGACAGCAGTGGAGTGTCACTTGAGTAGTTGTCTCACAAAGAAGATTGGCCCTGCCAGCCTGGGATTGCTGCTGCTCCCCAGGTCAGTGAGATGGGAAGGTCACAGGAGTATGGGAGGGCTCCAGATTCACTGAGGCTTTGTGTCCAGTTTCCAAAAGCTGCCAGCTGTACTGCTCTGAGCTCTCCAGGTCCTGGGAGCTGGGCACTTGGCCTTGGAGTACATAAAAGCTTTAGGGTGGCTGTACCATGAGCTCACCTTTCCGCTCACTTTCTCCATCCCCCTCTCCCTATACAATCTGACACAGCCTGTGTGTTTTCACTTTTTATTACAGAGGTGTGAAGCCAGTTATTGACAGAGCCCTCTTTTTGGAGGAGGAGAGGATTATTGTTGGGTAGGTCCTGAAGTAAAAAATTGAGAATAATATCCTGGGGAAGTAATGGATAGATGAAACTCTGACTCCCACTCTGACTGGGAGCTCTGAGGTTCACCTTGGTTGAGGGATGCCCCAGCCAGTTTGGTCAGTGCTGCACAGAGCTGCTGGCTCAGCCTCAGCCTGGCTCTCTGTCTCTTCCCTGTGTTGCCCCTGTGCCACCAGGTAACCAACCCATCCTTATCTTTGGAGACTGTTCTGCATCCTGGCCTTGCCATCTCCTGGCAGGTACATCGCTGACAAAGCAGTGGGGGACAGGTGACAGCCTGCCTTGCTGACAGAGTTACAAAATGGATTCCAGGACCAAGCCCATCCCACAAAACACCAGGATTAAATACCAAAATGCTTGGTGTTGCCTGTGTGCTTAAAAGTGCTGAGGAAAAGGGCTTTATCAAGAGGGAGGATCAGTTGAAGCTGGGAATTGTCCCTCAGGCTCCTGGTGCTTCCCAGGGAGCATCTGTGTTCCCCTGCCTTTGGCTCTGCTTCCATGAGGCACTTCCAGCCCTATTGCTAGACCAGAAGACGGGATGGAAAGGAACTGGGAGAACAAGGAAGAGGAGAGGAGCAGATTTTTTGGAGATTGCTCATGAAAGCAGTTCTCCAGTTAGGGCAGTGGGTGGGGAGAGTATCCTGGGACCCCATGTTGATGCCTGTGCTTGCTGCAGCACTGCTCAGCTAGGCCAGGGGCTGGGAAGAGTTTACTATTTCTGTCAACCAGCAGCCTGCCCTTTTTCTATTTGTGCTTTGTGTTGGGCCTGCACTGTCCATCCTACTGATGGGCCTGGGCTTCAGCAGCCAGACTGTAATTAGAAGACTGCCCTTGGAGCTAAATTGGAAGGACCAGCAGCCAGTGCTGCAGAGGCCAGACACCCTTCTCCCTCTCATCCCTCAGAGCCCATTGTGAGCCTGTAATGTGCTGACTATAATAAAGGGGGGCTCCCATAATGAGGGAATTTCCCTCATTACCTGTAGCCATTAAGAGGAGGATCCTGTGCTTGTGAGTCCTGGAATCACTCACTCTTCTACCTCAGGAGCTGTTGATAGCAGCAGCTGAGGAGCTCAGTAATTCTCCAGGAGGTGAGTGATACATCCTGGCCTTTGATTTAGCCTGCTTAAACAGGCCTAGTTCTTAAATTTAATGGGCTTTAGCAAAAAGTTTACTCTGTTGATTTAAAATACTAATAGAATGAATTATTATGGCAAGTAATTCCACAGAAGGGTAGAGAATGAGTAAAAAATTTCCAGAACATCTTAGTAAGGTACAACATTATCTACTCTTATATGATTCCACAAGCTTTCATAGCTAAACCTCAGGCTTTGTCCCAGCCAAAAGCAAACATCTTTCACATGATTTCAGCATAACAGGGTGTTACTGGTTCAGTGATAGTCTGGAAGGTTAGGAATTGGGTTGTATTCACTGCTTGCTTTTTTTCTTCTCTCTCAAACTCTCATAGTTTAAAAGCAGAAAGGTAGTTGTAAACTACCCATAGCCTGCAAAGTACAGCTGGCAGTGAGACATAATCCCCCTGCCCTTACCTGAGCTTCACAGGCTCACAAGTATTGGAGGAGAATTTATTTAAAGGAAAATAAGTAGCAACTAAGTAAATGCACAGGAGGAGTTACTTAACCAACCAGCTTAACCATTGGTTGAAAGTCAGGGTAGGGCAAGAGGAGTCATGGGAATGTTTAAATCTGTCAGAAATGTGATGACATAATGAGCAATAACTACTCTATGTTCCATCCCTGGGCCCCTCCTACACTCACTTAGCAGTATTTCTACATTTCTAATGCAACCTGCTTGTGTGACAAATCCACACACATATTGCACCCAATTAGTGTCAAGCATAAGAGCTGCTCTGGCTATGTCTCACCTCTCTAAAACTCTCCTGAAAGCAATTTTCCCAGCACACAAAGAATAAACCCCCATTCTCCTAAATCTCTCAGAGGACAGTTCCCAAATAAGGGCCACGTAAACAAATGTAATACATTATAAAGCATTCTAATTCATTAGATAATCTTCCCAGCAGTAGTTGCAGGGTATTATCTGCTTTAAGTGTTCAATGTTATATGTAATTCAAAATGTCAGGGGAAGTGAGACAAGGCACTTGAATAGGCACTTGTAGAAAAGAGTGGAATACCTGGCTTAAAAAACACAAACCTCCTTTCCCCCTCTAACAAGTTTCCAAGAAACCATGGCAAACAGCCAGACAAACTGGAAGAGAAAAATAAATGCACACCTACTGTAGGAAGTATAACCTGTGTCCCAGTCACTCCAGAAGCATCAGGAGCTGAAGTGAGGAGAGCAGAGGGAGGGAGTACAATCCTTCCTGGGGTACCAGCTGCAGCAGGGTCAAACCATTAGCTGAATTTGACAAATGACTTATATGACCACAGCTTGTGCAAGCAATAGCCACTTGTGCTATTGGAGTGTCCCAAGGAGTCTCCTTTGACACTGGCTGTCACTGTTCACATACATTTTCAGGTGACCAAACATCTGCCACCTTCTGCTATGGTGCGCTGCAGGAATTTGCCCTCTCCTTTCCTACTTTGTTTCCTTGTGATGCAGGCTGGCTGGCTGGCTCAGAAAGTGTCACCTGGCAGTGAGGGAGCAGCTCCTGAACAGCAAGCAGCCCTGGGGTGGCTCCAGATAGCTGCTGTGCTGTAAGATGTGTGTCAGAAGTGGCTGAGAAGGGCTGGAGGGGAGCACCAATGACCTTACAGTGGGTATAGGATGAGCAGAGCCTGAGGCTTTGTGTTGTCAGCACCCTCTGTGGCTGCTGGGGGCAGGTGGGGTGGAGGTCATGTTTCCCTTTGCTGTCATTAGCCCAGCTGCACAGGCATTCCACCTGTGCCTCCCTGGGATGCCCTGAGCAGGAGGGGAGTGTGCCTGGGCTTCCACACCCTCATCATTGTGTCCCTGCTTAGCTTTACCAGAGCCCAGGGTGTCTCCCCACTGAGTGGATTCTTTGTCTCCAGTGCCCCCTTGATGTCCCAGGGAGACCAGAGAAATGGGCCTGGGTCTCCAACCTGAGCAGGGGCTGTGCTGGAGCAGCCACGGACAGGAGAGAGAGGTCCTGGCTGCTCAGGGCTACTGAGGACCATTAATCTCTGAGGCAGGCTGGGAGCTGCACAGCTCCTGTGCCAGCTCCCTTGGCCACCTTCCCCAGGGCTCAGGGACATGGCAGCACATGCCTGGAGCGTGACCTCTGTAGCCACAGGACGACGGAGCCACCGCTCACCCAGTGAGTCAGGGGAGGCCACGTGAGGCCCCAGCCCCGACGCCTTCCCACCCAGGGCTGGCACTGGGATCCCTGACCCAGGATCCTGAACTGCCACACAGCCGTGAAGGTGAGTGCTGGGGAGGGGTTCAGGAGCTTCTTGGGGTCAGGCCTGAGGGTGGTTGGGGGCTGCATGCTGGCTCTTGGTACTGCTGGGTTATTGGTTGCTATTTGAAGCATCAAGCCACTGTACAGGAAAAGGGTTCTGGTGCTGTGGGAATTACAGGATTTCTCTATAACCTCTCTTTTTGACTCAACTTGAGTCTTTGACTCAACTTTCCCATCTTTCAAATAGCTTTTATTTCTCTAGGATCATCACAGTAAGCCAAACACTTTATGCAAAGAGAAAGATTTGTTTGCCTTAATTTTACTCAGACTACAAGCATAAACATTTCTGGCTTCTGATGAGTTAATATTCTTCCTTCAGAGCTTTACAGCAACCACAGGGAAGCATGGGGCGTGAAAGGAGAAACACAAACCAAATAATTTCAAATGTTGCATGTCAATGCTTAAGTCAGAGCTGGAAAATGCGCAGCAACCTCCCCAGGGCTTACAGGTGTGGGGCTGGCAGCAGTGCAGCCACCGTGTCTGGGCCTGCTGTGAAAGCCAGGGGAGGAAGGAAGTGCTGGAGCTGCAGCAGGGAGTGGATGGGCTGTGCCTGCTCCTTGCTCACCCTGTGGGGCTGTCAGAAGCAGCCTGGGGAGCTGCCCTAGCTGCGGTGACATGCACTTGCTGGGTCTCCCTACGCACTTGTGTTCAAGGAGAGTGAAAAGTCTGAGTTTTGCTGCTTCTGTGTCACATTTCAGCTACATTTGACAACAGGAAGGCAAGCAGAAGGGTAGCAGAATTATTGCCACAGCCCGAGGAGACTGGAGCAGGAAGGGTTACAAAACGGAACTGGTGTGGATCAGTTTTTGTTGTCTCACAGGAAGAAACTCAGCTTTCACCACGGCCACGGCCCTCCAGGACATCTTCCTGTGGATCCAACTGCTAGGACAAACCTAAGACTTGCAGGTGTGCTTTAAGAAATTGGTTTGGTTTGATTTGAGAGAAGGGCATTGAGGAACTTTATGTTTAAAATAAATTCAGCAGGTTTAGGTGTCAGCATATAACTTAAAATGAAGGGTAAGCATAGTTTCAAAGGGAAAAGGTTTGGGATTGTCTGATTTTTGTCTTGAAATTAAAGCAACTTTATTTGCATTTTTTTTGTTATCCCATTGAGCAATTTCCCTCAGATATATTTCAGCTAAGCAAAACCTCATGTACGGAAGTTGTTAACCTCACTTTCTAAATGTGACTCTACACACAAATTTTATTCTAACATGTTAAAAAGACCTCACTGCAATTAAATTCTGATTTACTGTGAGGAAAGCAAGGTGAAGTCTGTTGTTCAAGTCATTCTCCAGTGAGCTCATGGCTAGGCTGAAATGCCTGTATATCATCATCCTTCTCTCATTATGTGGTATAATCAACTAAGTCACTTTTAAAACATACAATAATTAGGCACCTATACTTATCCTTTGTTTAGATCTGATTTTCTTTCCAGAAGAGCCACAGGGGAATTAATGTGCATAGTCTAAGAGAAATTAGCTACCCAACTTCCTTGGTTAATGTAAATCTTGGTCATGGACTGGGCTGAGCTGTGCTGAAGGTACAGAAAGGGAGATGGAAGCAGATGCTGGGTGCTCCTGGATCCTCTTGTGGCATCCAGGTCTTACCACAGCAGGATGCAAAAGGCATTAGGCAGCTCTGTTTCTGTTGTTGGAACAGCTGAGCAGTCTGCTGGCTTATTTGGGCCAGGAAATGAGCAGTTTTGAAGTAAACCAGTCTGATAGCAGATGAAGATGATGTTGGCACTGTCTGCCCTGCCTTCAGTGTTGAATCTACTCTTCCTGTGTGCATGGCAGGACAGGTCAGGTGGTGCCCACTGCTCACTTTGTCTTTGGGATGATGCAAAGCTGGGATAGGGCAGCTGCTGTGACAGGTTCCTGTCAAGGGAGCAGCAACCTGCCTTAAAATGCCACTGAAAGTGGCCTTCACTAGGTGCTAGGAACCCCAGATACAAACCTCCTGAGTTTTACTTGATGGTAAAATATTAGGATACTTTTAAATTATTTTCTGAAATTGAATTAATCAGCTGGAAAAAAAAAAAAAAGTTTATATTTAAAGTACTTTTGTTCCTTTAGCTCTGGTATTTTGACCATGCAGTCCAGAGACAGGCCTAAAGGATTTAAGTTAAACAAGCAACTATTGCAAGGTCTAAGTTGAGCAAATAGGAAGGCAAGAAAGAGACTGAAAAAGGCAGAAAAGCATAGCTGGAGATATGTAAGTGCCTATGAACTGACATTCTTGACTGAGTGGCTGAGAACGAGTCTGTCCAGGGTGTGTGCTGGTTCCTACATTTCCACATCAGCTGATGCTTACCCACAGAGGGGACAGATACATTTCCTGCATTCCCTATCGGGTGCTCACAGGCTCCCAGCTCCCACAGGACTGCTGCTGCAGCTACAGCAGCAAAGGCTGGATGCAAGTCAGGGAAAGGGGAAGCTCTGTAGATCTTTTGCATAGATTCACCACTGGGAATAATTTCAAAATGTTGTTAAAATATTGTTTTCCCACAATACACTTTGGAGGCAGGTAAGCCAAGTTTTCTGAGCTGAGCCTTTGAAAGTGGTTATATAATTTTCCCAGAAGTCTTTTGAAGTCTGTTTTTATCTAATTTCCTCTGTCTGAGAACTGACACCTTAAAAAGTTGTTCTGTTTGAGTGTTTGCTTGTGTATCTTTCTGAAGATATTAATTGACCTGTTTTGGGTTTTGTATTAGAATATTTTTTGGACTGATATGATGGTCTTTAGAGAACTGAAAGTGCCAGTAGGAAAATGAACAGGTTTTCCTCTGAAAAATTTGAAGGATATACTTAGTTTTCAAACTGCTTAATTGGAAGTGTTTTGTTGAATGGATCCAAAAGTCATATTGTAAGAAAATGTGTGGATGTATAAACTGTTTTCCTATTGCATCCTGCATGGTGGAAACTTTGTTTTAGGCTCCCCAAAAACCTTCTTTTGAATCTCTCAGTACAACTGTTGGTTAGTTGCAATGTTGCACGAGGGAAGATGCATCAGTGCAGAATGCCTGGACCACGCTAGGCAGAGGCAACAGTTCATAACCACAGCCACCACAAAATGTGCACCATCAGGAAATTCCATCCTCAGCCTAAAACTTCTGTGGCAAGTTTATCAAAACAAAAGCAAATACTGAATTTTGGGGATGTCAGAACATTTGTTTCTGTGGCAAATACTAGTAATTAATCTGGGATCAACAGTTAAAAATTTCTAATTCATAAAGCTAAAGTTTATGGAAATTTCATGACAATTTGGGAAGAACAGATGTTGAAGTATCAAAATCTTTTGTGAGACAAGAATTCAAGGTCTTGTGGGACTTTCCTAAGAACTATTTCTGCTCTTTTTCCTGGCTGATACATTTTAAGTATTAGGATGTAAAAGGTACAGGATAATTGTTCTGTTTCATGAATGGAACCCGGCCTATTAGGTTACTCACATCTGTGGTAAATGTTTAATTAGACACTTTGGTAGCTTTACAAAACAACAATGTGAATAATCAAGTCTGACTTCTTTTTGTTTTACTCATGATGATCAGACTTTTGTTCTTTCCTAATAACCAAAAGCTGGTAGGGCTCACTTGGAGGAGTGAAGAATTGGGTCCCAGGAGGGTAAATTAATCATGATGTGAAACAGAGAAGTGATTCCAAGACTGAAAGGCCCAGAGAGAAACACTGTGTTTGCAGAAAATCAAAGACAAAACCAGGAAGGTCAGTGACCTGATTCTAAATGTGCTTTCTTCCCTTTCAAACAGGCACAGCAATGGAGAGTTTGGATGTCCCAATCACAGATCTTACTGAAGAACAGCAAGGTGAGAGAAACACACAAAGTTCAGAGCTTTGGGTCTTGCACACTGCACAGCAATATTTGGCAGGGTGGGCATGAGTCAATGAAATCTGTTTCCTCTGAAAACACACCCTATCCATCTCTTTCCTTGTAAGAGAGAGACCAGCAGTCAGTTCCCAGCTCTTCCACAGGCTCCTGTTAGGCTTTGTGCACATGCAAGTGGGAATTTAGATACATGAAGGAGACTTTACTGTGCATTAAATGCCTAATGAGCAATCTCAGGACCTTGGTATCCAGTCCTTGGGGTCTTTGTGCCTGTCTGTGAAACAGCATGGTCAGAATACCTTTTGAATAGCTAGGAATACTTTGGGAGCATTTGCCATGCTTCTCTAACTAGACAACAGCATCACAGAGACATCAGTCATTTGTATGGACTACTGACATTTGTTTACTGTTTTGTGGCAGACTGAGATGCTTTATACAATACAGCAATCAGTCTCTTTCCTGTGTGCTGGTACTGGGCAGTGTGTTACAGCCTGGTGTCTGTCTCCACACCTGCACTGAGCACCACAGGAACACTGCCATGAAACCCCCCTCTAGTCCTGCACAATGACAGGTTTGTTTTCCTTACAGATATTCTTCAGAGAGCTTTTGCTGCTGATGCCAAGTACTTGGAGAATCATGAGAAAATGAACCAGTCCTTCTGGGAATCACTTGTGAAATGCTTGGCCACTACTGACCCACCTATCCTAAATACTGAAGAAAAGAACAATGTAAGTTACCAAAGAAACACTTATCCTTGTTATTCTACTTTTCTGCTATACTCTGGGGAGAGAGAACACAGTCCCACTAGCTGATATACTGAAATATATTAAAAGGTGTAACTGGACACTTAGATAAATGACGTTCAGGCCACTGCTTTTTACTTCACTGCTCTCCATGTGAAAAACAATTGACTCTCTATAAATTCCTCAGGATCACTTCAACTCACTATATTCTAGGCAGGACCATTGTTAGTCACGTTTTGCTGTAAAATACTGCAGCAATTGCATGGCCATATTCATTCCCTATAGCTGTATTTCTCCAGCTCTATGAATAGTTAACTATTTCCCACCGTGCTGTTTTTCCCAGTTGATGGCTCTGCTCTGAGTTGCTGAATGGAGTTTACATTCTTTTCCCATCTTTGGCATTACTCTTTGTCCCCAGTTTTCCCTTTGTATACTAGAAGCAGGAGGTTACACCAGGTGGGATGCACTCATTTGCCCATCAGGGTGTGCTTGTACAGTCTGGGTTTTATTGGAAAGACTCTTTGCTAGTTACTTGTCTCCTTTTCAGCTCCTTAACAGCTGTGATGTCCTCCCTGGAGGCTGTGCTGCCTGCCTGAAAGCCATAGAGAAGAAAGGAGTCAGGGCAATGGCTCTTCTTTACCTTTTGCTGAAGACTTCCAACCCATCTGGGTACAGGCAGCTGCCCAGCTCCAAGGGAAAGGGTGAGTCCTACCTGTCCTCCTGTCAGCTGTTTTGTTAAGATTACTGCAGGGCCAGTGGCAGCAGTAATTGACAGCAGCTTAAACACTCTGTTATTGGAAGTGCTTATTATTGAAAGTGATTATTATTGAGCAACTGAAGTGTCTAGAAGTACTGCTCAGGAAAAGCAGTTAGGTGTGGTGGTAATGGGAGCCAAAGTTAGTATTTAACTGTAGTTAGACTTGGCTTCTTCTGGGAAAAACCCACCTGTGTTTAAAGAGAGAGCATGTCTTGGGATGATGCTGCCTAAGAAGTTTCTTTGACTTGAGAAAGTTTTCCCTGACGTTTTTGCACAGACTGTTATCCAGCCAGACAGCTCAGACCCCTCTGAGCATTCACAGTGGTAGGAAATCAGAGCTGAGCCAGTGAAAATATTTGTATAAATATAATTTCCTAGCAGCACACATAAAACTAAAAGGAATGGACAGGGGATGGCACACAGGGTGCTGAACCTGGCAAAAAGATAAAAGAGACTTATTTGCCTGGTTGTGCAGTAAGAAACCAGTGGCAGTTTCACAGGATCCACTGTCATTGTCTTTAGTAGACGACAGAGGAGCACTCACTTAAGATGACCCTAAATTTAACTGGAGACCCTCAAGGACATCCTTGATTAAGCATGTTTCTGAAGGGAAGAGATGTCCCAGCCTGGGACATCTTTGGTCGTCTGTCAGGGCAGGAATGTTGGTAGCAAGACCCTTGGGCTGTGAGTACCTAAAGGAGCTGGAGGAGAAGGAATCCCATCTACCTGCCTTGTCCAAACCCTGCACCTCCTGATGAAGAGATGCTGTTCAGTGTCACCCCTGGTCACAGGAGCCAGGAGCAGTTGGGATGCTGGGGTGGCCTGGCTGTGAGGACTGTGCTCCTGTGCCACGAGAGGCAGCTGGAGCCACGGCTCAGCACAGGGAGCCCTGGCAGAAGGAGCCCAGGCAGGGTGAGCCACTCCTCTCCTGCTCTCATTGTTCAGCTGCAGCTGCTTCAGGGAATGGGAATTTGCACAGGGGTAATATTATGAATAATTAAACGCCAGAATATGAAACTTTAGGTGTCGACCACAACCATTTAGGAAGGTCTAAACTGTAGTGTGTATGATGCTTTCGTTTGATGCTATGTGTGCAAAAAACACAACTGAAATTAGACAAATGGTCTGATTTCCTGTCAGGCAACTTTCAATAAAGCATTGTGAAATCTGTAATTGTAAAATAGAAGATGTAGTCACTGATAATGTTTTTTTCTCTTTCTATAAAAAGATGAAAAATTGAAAGTCCTGAAGAGTTTGGAAAGGAATTTTGTATATTCAGAAGAGGACAAAAAGTCTGAAAATTTATCCCAGGAGTCCATAGATGAAGATACACAAGGTAAAGAGGATTTATTTTATTTTCCTGATACATAACTTAGTCTGACTTCATGTTTGTAAAGACTGACATAGGAGATGTGGCAATTCTGTAGAGCTCTGAATAAAGTAAGAAATTGTGCAAAAGAGAAAACATAGAAAATCATCAGTACCTGATTCATAATCAGCAAAATAGTGGCTGCCACCGACTCTTGTGGAAGTTGGTTTCAGAATGTAGAAATCTGCTGCAAGATTCCTTCCCCAAATAAAAGATCCTAACTTCTGTCTACAGCCCTGTATACAAGTTAATCCAGCTGAGGTTTTGCTGAGTTTCACCTATTCAGCCAGTTTTGAAGGGAGCTGTGAGGCAGAAACAGCCAATAGTGATACTTGCATTTCAAAGCCTTGATTTTTACCTTCATATGGTTATGTTATGAGCAAACCACAACAGAGCTGTTCTTTCTGATGCTGCTAGCACATTTTTCTTTACTCCGATGAACAAATTCTTTCTCCTATCCAGACAGTGATAAGGAAGATTTAGGAAGACAGAAGACTGAAGGTCAGTTACTTGGAGGTAAGACAAAGTGACTACAGTATTGGCTTTACTAGAGGCAAAACCAATATAAACCAAAAAAGAATTATTTTTTGCATTCTTTGGGTTGGCTGTTGAACAAAGGTATATTAACATGTGTAGATATTAAAGAAAGACAAGTCAGGATTTGGCAGTAGGAAAGACATTTCCTACAAGATGAAGCTCAACTAATGTTGACACTCAGCCATGCCCTGTGCTCAGAGTTGAACCAGGAAAGCAGCAAAATCTGCTGTTGTGAGAGGAGTCCTGCTGCCTGGGTCTGCACAGCTGCCACTGAAATGCAGCAAGAGGGCTCTGAAAATATCTGTCACAGCCAATACTTAGAGGGGCTGCAGTCAGCCCACAGCACTGACTGGAGATCATTGGGAAGGACCACCTTGTTCCTGAGGCTTTTCCTTTCCTGCCAAAGGAAATATGGAAAATAATTACAATGCAGATGAAGAAAATGTGCTGTATCAATACACAGAAATACCTATAGAACTATGGATGTAAAAATGTAAAGCATTAATATTTTAATTAATGTCTCAAACTGAGCTAAGCCCAAATGTAAGAGAAGCTCATTTAACATTGACATTAGGAGAGTTAATCTGTCTCACAGGAGTCTGATAGTCTGATTCTACTTGACTCCAGATACTTGTAGAGATTAAATATGGGGAGGGTGGAGAATTCAGTCATTTCCCACTTTTTGACTGCCTAACCCCCAGCAGAGCCACCCTCTTTAAGGAGTGAGTTGGTCTCTTCTTTGTTTCTGCTACACACCCACAGTGTTTTCAGGGAGCTGATGGGCTGGCACTGGCACCAGGCTCCCTCACTGCAGGTATTAACCTACCTCATCTCTGTGTCATGGTTTAGGAATACCAGCCGAAGTGGTTCCCTACAGAGATTCAGGTAAGTGCTCCTACAGGTCACCTCATCCTGCTGGAATGACTGTAACTGCAGTGTCTTCTTTCTGACCAGCTGAGACATTGAAAAATAACTCTCAGGCTGTAAATCCCTTGGTTTCCAGTTAGCCTGGTGTTGGGCCTGGGTGTGGTGCAGAAATTCTGGTGTAAGGCTGTGGTAGTGACTGTCTGACAGGAGGTGATTTGTACAAGGTGTTCTGACAGATTAACCCATTTTTGTAGGCCTGCCAGGTTCTCCCAAGATCAGCTCATAGCAGTCATTCTTTAGGGGAAAACCCAGCAGTTCTGTTGGGCAACTGTCCAGTCTTGGCCAAAAAAGCTAGAGGAAGTTTTTAGCATTCCCTGAAGCCCTCTGTCTCCTGCTGAACAGGGGTCCAAGGCTGGGAGGGACCTGGAACAACCTGGTTTCTGCAAGCAGTGATGCTTGGCTCTCAATGCATTCTTGCCTGCACAGCATTCCCAGCAGGAGGTGCCAGGTGAAAGCCACATGTCAGGCAACAGTGCCAGGCAAGAGGCTTGCACAGACAGGCAGTGTGAAGGCAGACTTCCTCCCACCAGACACTGCTGTACAGCCCCAGAATGTTTATATAAAGCCCACAGCAGGAAATTGCCAACAGCTAAATTGCATTACTGAGTTCATCCCTCCTGTGCCCAGGCCAAGGCCACAGGATGAGTTAGGAGAGACAAACAGCCCAGCTGAGCAGCCTTTAGAGAGGACATCTGCTCCACTTCTGTGCTGTGCAGTGGAGAAGTTATAAATTGCAGCATAATCCCTGGGGGAGGTTTTTGAGTTACCTATCCCCAAGGAGCCGCAGGAACACCAGGGCAGAGGGATTCATTGCAGTGCCATATTCTTCCCACACTGTCAGATGCAGACAGGGTCATGGTACTTTTCCCCTTGGTGTTTGGCCTCTCTACCACTCACCCCAGTTTTCTTGCAGATAGGTGATTACTCACTGTGCTTCTTGGTGCTGAGTATGGTAGGAAGCTCTATACTTGTATTTTTTCCATGAGAAACAAAACTTTATTTCTTTTCAGAGATTGCCAGAAGAGAAGATTCAGATGCAGATGGTAAGTACAAACATGCAAACAAGTTTGTTTTGTGGATGTTCTTTCACGACTGAGTTTTGCTTAGTGTGGCAAGGGCAATACCAGCTCCTCGATGCCTAGAGATTGTTTAATCAAAAAGCAGAAGGTTGAAAACAGGTAATAACATGGACTGCTTTAACAGAAGAAATACTGTGCAAGTCACTCCATGATGCCAAGTTACAGTGGGACTGTTGAATTTAGGAAGTAATACAGGACAGATACTTATCAAGTGTGAATTGATGTTCTGCTAAATTCTTTATCTATAGCTCATTCATACAATTGCAGAGAGTTGTATCTGTGAGTCAGAATAATGCAATACTATATTATTAATAGGAAAATAATTGGGCTTGCCCTCAAACCAGAATGTGATCAATCCAGACTGCACAAAGAGGCAAAAATGTATCAGGTGCCTGTATCAGGTGACTCAGAGCAGAATTTCTTTTCAAGGTTTAGTTACTCTGTGGTTCAAAAGCAGCACTGCAGAAGTCTACAGCTCATATAAAGGACCCTTCCAGTACTCGCCTGTTACATCTTTAGAGCAAATTCACTGCCAGGCAGAGGTTGCCCAGTGTAAGGGAAACCAGAATCTGGAACTTGTTCTGAATCAACTCCCAAAGGCTTGGGTGCAGCAGGTGCCTCAGGGGCTGCTCAAACCACCAACAAAGAGAAAAGGAAAAAACTGCTGCTTTGAACCTGTTGTTGGAGAGGTGGTGAAATACTCAGCTCTTTCTGGCAATAGAGGTGGAGAAAAAAGAGAATTTGTCAACTCTGCTGATGACAAAGATCAAACTGCTCTGTGTTTAAACCTCTAAAATACCTCATTTGTTCTTATGTTATTTTTTCTTTATGCCGGTGTAGCTGTAGGAGACTCATTTCAGCAGCAGGTCTCATTTTGGGAGGTGCAGAAGTACTTGATGTCAGGTGTTAGTAGAAGGATGGTTCTCACACCCTCAGTAATGAAGGGGAGGTTTTTACTGTAGCTGTGGCTGTGCAAAGCATGCAGGGATCAAACTGAAGCTCCCTTGTACTATGGCTTTACTCCCCCACTGTCTTTCTTGAGACTACGACTTTCCCAGAAGAGGCAGAAAAGATCCAGAGTGCTTTAAAACAATTCAGTATTGTTAATGCAGACATTTGGTTATACTTTTTAAAGTTCATTTTTAAAACCATGCTCTTTGGAGTAATTAAAAAATTGCTAATTTAATCTTTCTGGAAGGTTTGCAGACCAGCAAACAGTTTTATGTATATTCTGCTCTGACAGTCTATTTTTTGTACAAAAACTCCTTAATTTCACAGTTCCATGGTAATAAAAGACTTCTCTTTTTTGTAGTATATGAGGAAGAGAGCACTCAACCCCCTCAGTGTACAGTACGGTGGATGGGCATACGGAAGGATGGTAATTGATTTATTAAATCAAACTGATGTCAAACCTGTTGAACCTTAGTCCAAGAAAAAGATCTCTGGTTCAAAAAAACCTTTATTTTTCCAATATGAGTGCTTTGTTGAAGTTCATCAAGGCTTCGTGATGAAAATCATCAAGGCTTCTCACAGTGTTGAGCTTTGTGTCTGAGAAATCTCAGGGAAATTGATTTCACTCCATGAGTGATACTCTGTACCTAAAGGTGATTTTGGAAGGGCCATGGCTGCAGTTTTGACCTAATCTTCCCTCTCAATTTCAGATGAATTTTTTCATTTTGTCATTCTTTGCTTTGCCATTGGAGCTTTACTAATTTGCTACTACTATCACAAAGGTAAGACAAGATTCAATAGAAGGATATATTGTTGCACTGTAGAGAAATGAACCAGTCTAACATTTATTTTGTTGCCTTAGATTGGACTATTTCTCTTGGGATTGGTTTAATCACCTTTGCTTCCCTGGAAACTACTGGGATATACTTTGGTCTAGGTAAGTGTCCCCCCCAGCAGCAGCTGTATCCTTGCACTGAGGACAAGGTCACACAATTGCCACAGCCCATAAAACTTCTGGGGCTGAGATTCTGTAACTCACCACAAAACTCCCCGCAACATCTCCCAGTTGCAGAGGGGCTGCAGACAAGCAGCCTTAATGCTACTGAAGGGAGAAGTTGACTCATTTTTCCCTCTCAGTGATCACAAGACCCTGAGTCACCTCTTTCTGCAGCAATGGCCAAATGCTGCGTTGCCATGACAATGTGTAATTTTAGCAGCAAGGCCTGTCTTCCCAGATCCACTGGATAAGATGCTGTGCATCCCAGCTGCCATGTGTTCTCCTGGGACTGAGGATGAGCCTGGGGCAGAACTTGGATGCAGCAGCTAATGGAAATATTAAATCCTGTGCATTTTGACAGTCCCTAAGGATGGTATAGGAGTGCTGCCACCAGCAGCAAGTTATGGCTCCCCAACCAAGAACTTGTCTCCTCTGCAATCTCATGTTAACATGGTGGGAGGTTGTGGATGGTTCTCTCAAGACTCAGCCTGATCTTTCTTATTAATGATATTGCAGATGTGCTTGTTTAAACAAGTGTCAGTGTTTCGGTTTTGCCATTTTTCTACTTTTTCAGTTTTATGTTACTTATCTTATATGTTTGTTTTCACACCCAGTATACCGAATTCGGAGCGTCCTTGACAGCTTTGTTCCTCTGATTGACAGATTCAGGCTAAGAGGTAACAGTGCTCTTTTTTTCTGACAGCATCTGTCTTCTTTGGTCAAGAATTAAGACCAACTCATTTAAATGACATTTTCTCATCTTACTGCCTTAAACAAAAAAAAAAAAGAGTATTTTACTACAGTTCATTACAACTGCTTGGGTTTGAAAATTAGTCTTGAGTCTTTCCCTGTGGCAGAACATTTTCACAATTTTAGTACTCCACCCTGTATGGGGTACTATTTCCTGGCAGTGTCTGCATAAGAATTCTATAGTTTAAATAAAAACGCAGGGGCTGGAGGGAGTTGTCACTTGTTGGGTCTTCAGACAGACTCCTGGTTCATGTTTATCCATGTTTGTGGACACAAAACATGAAGAATACTGAAAAGCTGCATGGATACAGTGCAGTCTGAACACAGCAGTCCTGACAGCTGTCTTTCTTCATCCCACAGGCATGAGGAAAACTGCCTAGGAGGAGTATTTCAGGAGAGTTCCCCAAACCTGGCTGTCCAGATTTCCAGTACTGAAGGAACTGCTTTATGAGGTGAACCTAACAACCAAATGGCCAATGTGAAATACCGAAATGTGAAACTTCTGAAACATGTCACTCCTTTACCTCCAAAATAAACCTGAAACTGGGGTACGGGGCCCCATTCTGGATTCCAGAGTGGTTTGGGGTTCAGAAGAGCTTGGAAGACAATGGAGATGTAGCTTTGTGTTCAATTCCATTGAAATATAAACGCAGTCACCTTCCCTCCCCCAGGCAGCCTTGTGGTGGTGCATCTCTCATTTAACAAACCACGCCAGTGTGCCTGTGGTGTACCAGAGCCAACAGACCAATGTCCTGTGCTGGTGCTGGCTTAGGCTCTGGCTGTTTCTGTAGGGATTCTGACCTCCTCCTCCTCCTCCCCCCAGTGCTGCCCAGGGCAGGCAGAGGCTGGCCCTGCTCTCCCAGCTGAGCCCTGGCGGTGCCAGCACTGGGGCTGATGAATTGATCGTGGCAGAACTCGGAGCAGTGGGCGGGCAGTGGTTTCACCCGAGGAGGCACTGACAGAATGCTGCAGTAATGAGATTATTAACAAGAGCAGATTTCATCTTTTCTCAGGGGAAAAACAAAGTGCTTGATTTGACTCATCCCCCAACCTTTTTCTTTCTTTGAGTAAAATAAACATGAAGCTTTGACATTTGTTTCATTTTATAGGATGTGTTACACATTGCAAGAATGTAGCACTATTGCAATCATAGGAAGACTGCAACAAAACTATATTTTTAATAAAAATTTAAGGTCTTCATACCCACAAAATAATGAAGGCAACCAGTTGAACAGAAAAAGCCATAAATATGGATTTTTAAGGAAAGGTAAATCTGAAAGCTGTAAAGCCCAGCTCAGCATTTTACAGGAACAATTTCAAGCCTTGCTCAGAAAATTAGAAAGGTTAGTTTTTGTTGTGTGTAATTTGAAGCACCAGCATCAGTCACTCTTGTCTGCAGTTCCAGCTGCACTGCCAGAAACACCAACAATTGCACTCAGGCCTGCATCAACACAGCACAGCTGCCACCCAATGCCTCAAGGGCTAAATTGTGCAAGAAGGATGAACACAAGTTATTTCATAGTATTTATCTGCTCCTTTACATGGCTTTGTAGAAATATTCCACCATCCCAAGCTACTATAAACTTTATGTTAGTCTGCAAATAAAGTCTTGTTTAGACCACTGTAGCCATGCTAGGCAAATGGCTTTTTGGTGAACTGAAAACTATGCAGAGTCACCATGCTCTGATGAAAAGGGCGTTTTGGTGTCCTCTACTCTGTAATGTCTTTCTGAAAGGCAATTTGTGGAACAGTCAAGATGAGAAACATGTTTCAATACTTTATGTTTACTGCAGAGTACCAAATTTAAAACATTAATTTTTAATTTTAACAGAAACTGCTTAAGGGTAAAATAAGCAAAACATTTAAAAACAGCAAAACATTTAAAAAGTCACCAAGTGCATTCCACCATGCCAGATAAACAGCTAAGCCACTCACAGCAGGTCCCATGAGAAAAGTCAGTTCTCAACAAAAAAGCAACTTACACATTGAGCTGCATCCTCTTGAGTACCTGGGAATTTCCTGCTCTTCTTACAGATCCTTTAGTCTTTCTCAGCATCACCCTTGCTGTAGCATCAGCCAAGCACTCAAAGCTACAAGTTCCTATGAAGAGTTTCAGCTTCCTTTGCTTGTGTTGTCTGCATTCAGCATTCAGCCCCTACCTGAGCCCAGGGCTCTTCTGGGCCCCACCTCCCCGTTGGTTCCCCAGGACCTGGAACATCTCATTCCACTTTGGCATCACCCAGCACATTGGGTACTTCCTCCTTGCCTTTGGTTTTGAATGGCTGGGGGCAATGCAGAGAGGTGGGACTGTAAACATGCAGGTATTGCCCCACAACACCAAACCCCACAGAGAAAAGATGACACCACAGAAGGTTTTTTAAGCTGGTATTTTTATTAGAACTCTCTACATAAAGCACCTTTGCCTGCCTTAACCTCTCCGAACGCAGCTCTTCTGTTACACAGCACGAGGTGCTCTGATCTACTCCGCGTTCCTGGATTTGGACACGGCTGCCCTCACTGCCTGCATGATGGCATCCTTGTCAATGCCAAACATCCTCAGCAGCTCAGCTGGCTTCCCACTGCGGGGCACGTGGGACACGGCCAGGCGAGTGACGGTGACACCGGGCTCGCCCACGACAGCGGCACACACGGCTTCGCCAATGCCACCTGTGGAGAGAGGGCAGACACGGCACTGACGGAGCGCCCCGCAGGAGCATCCACACTGTCTGTGTAGGGCCTGCAACTTGCAGCCTCCATTCCCAGCCTCAGCAAAACTCCGATCACACAGGCCTGGGTGGCCAAATGAAAACCCTGTCCTGTGTCAAAGGCATCCTAAAAGGACAAGCAGGCTGCCATTTCTGAAGTACTCGGCCATAAGCAGCAGGACACACGTGCCTCTCAAGGGCACAGGACTGTCAGCAAGCTCTCACCGCTTTGACATCAGCCACCAGGAACCAGGTTTAAAAATGCACTTTGACTGAAGAGCATTTACAAGTGTACTTAACGTGCTGAAACTCCAACCAATCTCGGCAGCACTTCAGAACTCCATCTTTTCACAGTGCCTGTACGTGCTGCTGGGCACCTCTCTGGGTTATGTAACGTATTCACAACCTTTGCTCAGAGCTCAGCTGTGACTCACTATCAGTCACAGGGACAAAGGATGCAACGGGAACTGCATGGAGGCAGGAGGGACACTGGAAGCAGAAGTACTAGTGAAGAAAACAGGACTTGTGTCAAAAGCAAGTGCTGTGAGACTTGGTAGGAGAGACACCTTCTCTAATACTGCTACCCTTCAGAGAGTGTATCCAGGATCACAGGGCTGCCCACAGCTCCAGGTGTGGTGGGATTTAACTAAACAGCCTGCAACACAGATGCCTGCACCACAGAGTACTGTGCCAGCACAAAGCCCCTGTTCAACACCTCACAGCTAAGACTCTGCTGTCTTGCAAACCTGCAGTAAAATACTAGTCCAGAGCTGAACACTAAGTTAGGAAATGATGAGGTTCAGTGATCTATCACCATCCATAGTCTAGAACAAAACGTGGTGTATCCAGCACTTATGGTTGAACCAACTCACTTCAGGTACCTGGCAAAAGTGATGCTCACCTTAAATTAAGATAATATTCTCATAACTATATCTACTAATTCTGTTAGTAGATATCTATGGTGGTGGAGAAGAAAAAGGGAGGAATTTATCCCAGAGTAGCTTTGGAAAAACTATGGAAGCTGCCCAAACCTGATTTCAAGTAACCTGGATCCTAGCTTTTGGACACGTGGAATATTTAAACCTGCACAGCAATGGTCTCTCTTGCAATTTCACACCTGCAAAGAAGCTGCTGTACAGCCTGTCAGAGAATACTCTGAGCAGAACCCCTGCAGCACAGCAGGAGTTTACAATTTCACTGGGCACAAATGAATCCAGACTTCACTTGGACCAAACACACAAAGGGCACACAAGGCCAAGTTAATCAGAAAGGCAGCCCTGATTACCCCTTAAAGCTTTGTAGCCTTTCAACCCTCAGTGTCACATTATAATCCTAACAGTACCAAAAAAACCCTGAAATCTCTCTTTTGCTTTCATGGGATGACAGCATCAGGTCTCATACTCCTCTGTCAGGTCAGAAGCTGTGAGCTTTTAGCCTCTGAGGGCTGTGACCTCCCAGACCCTTCTCACCTTCATGGTAATGGTCCTCAACAGTGATGATTCTGCCCTTGGTTGCTCTTGCGTTTTCAAGTATTGTCTTCTTATCCAGGGGCTTTATAGTGAAGAGGTCAATCACACGGATGTAGATTTTTTCTGCATAAATAAATAAAAATTATTTGCAACAATGAGTTGCAACATGCAAGACAATGCCAGTGGTACAGGCAATGGCTGTGATCTCCTAGACCATTATGAGAACTGCCCACATGAACTCCCAGGTACCTGTACCTATGGCTCATCTACCACAGAACCCAGCCAAGCCTTATTTTTATATATATTCTTTCTCCATGCACCTTGTGGAATAGTGATATCCATTTATTCCCAGACATGATGGAGGAAACTTGGATGAGGGACACAAGGTTACCAGGAGCACCCATCAGCAAAACAGTCATCTAATTGGCATTCCCCGGGTAAGAGAAAATCCAGTCACCAGAGAAATCCTTTCTCAGGCTGCTGCAGACCTTTATTGGCAAGCGAAGTACAATTTCCACCTGATTTTTGGTGTGTAGGCATTATGAATTCTTTCTTCACTGCAGGCTGCCACCTCTCAGGTGTGCCTGTCTGAGCTGCCCAGCCCTACCAGTGCACCCTTAAGGTTGGTTGGCACCAAACCCAGATTTGCCCTGCCCTCATAAGGCAGGCCCAGTGGCTCATTAAAATTGCACACAAATGGCAATTGTTTATAAAGAATAGCAATTATGTGAGGTTGTCTCTAATCCTGGCTGGCTGAACACTGGGCTGACTCCTACACATGAAGAGGCCCTATTGTCAGTTTTGTGACTGAAGGCTCTTTAGTGGCCAATACATTTTGGCTTTTAGGCCCTGCCTCTGCACTATGGGATTATCTCCAGAGGTGATTACTCAGACTTCAAGATCAGCAGAGCATTGTAAAGCACTCTTAAGTGTAGAAAAATAACAATGGTCCTGAAAATACAACTTTTAAAATGTCCTAAACTCAAGATCATGAAAAAGTATCTGTCCACTCAGATGCTGCACACAAAACTCCCCATAAGCCACAGGCAGCATTACTGTATTATCTCCTGCTATTTGTAATCTCTTCTTGGGGGGAGGCTCCTGACTCAAAGATGGGTTTTTGATGGTTTCTTTCTCTTATTCCATTGAAAGATTACCATTTCTGTGAGATGGCAGTGACTTGAGCACTGCCATAGATTTGTGCCCCTTCTATGCTAGTTCAGAGCTGCTGCATTCAAAGAAATACAGGTCAACAGTGAGCCCAACCCAGGGCCAGGTGGCCGTGGGCACACACAGGTGACAAGCTGTGGTTTGGGACCTCGCTCCTCACACAGTGTCCCCAAGCCTCTGCCCACAGAGCACTACCACAGATCAGCAATTCTAAGGAGACCCTGATGTGATCTGTTGTCAATTTTCATGGCTACTAATGCTGTCAACCAACTAAACCCTCCTCCATTAGGCACGACTGGCAGCTGCATGCTGTGCTGTACTGTATCTGCT